CATAGACTTTCTAACCATAGTTCTCACAACCACTGAAAATCGCGTCCATTTCACTTATGGGGAGTGCAACAATCTGTCCCCACTGTACGTGGCCCACAAATTGATTGGTAATTGACTATTAATACCTGAGGACTCCTTACACTGACCACATATCCCAATATAAATCAACACCTATCGTTTGGTCCAAGTGTACCACCATCGATACCTGACTTTGCTGCTCCAAATGAAATCCTTGAATTATGCTTCAATCATGACCATGCTGCTTCGACTGTTTCCCTTATTAGTCTGATTGCATTTCTTGCTTCTAAACTGTCCAGCTAATTGTGTGTATTAGAAACTAGAAAAAGACCACGTACCTTCAAATTTTACCCCTTGTCGATCTTTGCCTTTTTACCCACTGAATGCTTCTTTCGATGAAGGACAGCTACGACACAGCTCCCTCTAACTTTTATTTTTACTACTTCGAGGAAGACTTCATAGATTGAACGAAGAAAACACTTCATTGTTGATGGAATCAATTCTAGTGCCTATTGTTAAATGGTGTTCTTTTTTTTGTCGAATCATCATGAGCCTCCTATTAGGAATGATCCGTGAAGCAGAAAATATAACTAGCCATAGACTGTCAATTTTGATTATTTCATTATTTTGTCTTTCAAGTATTTCTGCTACAGGCTTGAGATGTGGGAAAAAATCTAGATTAAGCAGTCTTAGAATTTACTGGCCACACAACTCTTTAGAGAAATTTACTGTGTGTATGACAAAAAGAACTAGTGTTTTCCATTGTATGACTATGAAGTTATACTTCTATTGTAATGCTGTATGTCATGCATAGTAATAGGTGATGGTATGTTCTCTTTTCCTTTGCATGTCCCATAACAACTCATAAACCATATAGCTTTCACATTACTAGTCATATATAGGGAATCTCACCACATTTTGGTCACATGTTGGTAGTTTTCCCAATCTTTAACTCTTACTGCAATGAAAGAGCTAAACCATATGATCCACAAATTAAATACTCGAAATTCAGTACTCAATACAAAGTTTGAGTACAAAATGTGGTCCACAAGTACGAATCACAAATTATTCTGAGGGTAATTTGGGTAAGATTGGAGGATAATATTATTAGATGTAGGGAAGTACACAATATGTTAGGACTGGATAGGGATGGAAACAAGATAGGTAAAATGTGACAGAGGGAGTATGCCATTCTCGTCACAGGATATGAAGATAAAATCAATGCGAGACTGGTTATGAAGAATTTTACGGAGTACCTTCTAATCTCTCTATAAAGAACACTATACTACAGTTAACAAGCAGGAAATTATTAAGAGATGTCCATATGAATAAATGAGTACAGAATCTTGCCATGTGTATTAAGCCCATCTACCCCATCAAAAAAGCTACTAAACAGGGAATTAACCAGTTCGTCATTACTCATCAGCATTGTGAACTAGACCATCTAACCTCATTACTGTTTCTGGTAATTATAAAAACAATGTACTCATTCGCAAGATAGACACAATATGCGATGATCCATCATTCCATTCCATGATTTCTTTTCCCTCTGTCACAGGCTTACATGAAAAATAACCAATATTTTGAGCTAATGTGATGATGAATGAGTTCATTTGGCAGCAAAATAACCAATTTAAAATCAAGACAAGAAATTCAAAACGCATTCTTCATTTCCAGCTGAGAATTCGAATATAGCTAAGGGCAACTATGTCAAAGAAAGTCTTGTTAAAGAAAAAAAGAGGGAAACGCGAAAGAACCTCAAGGGCGTGCTTGTAGCGGCGGGACTTCCGAAGTTCCTGGGAGATGTGCCGGAGGTCGGAAACGGCGACTCGCCGGCCTTCATCCACCCACTTCTGAATGACGTGTGTGGCACTTCGTTTGGGTAGTCTGAGCCTGAAGATCCTGTCTTTCAAATCGTCTTGTTCTTCTTCTCCGGCCGTACCATTTTCAACAACCAGGCGAATCGGGGAATCCTCACATACAAGCTCAATAGTATTTGTAGAGGAGAAGGATCTAAAGAGAACTCTTTTCTCTCCGACTCGAGCGTTCCTGTTGATTTTTCAAACATATGGAAAGCCGGAAAGTTAAGTTATCAGTGAAAATGTCAAAGACAAGAATCGAAGATGGAGATAAGTGTTACCGAGTAAGAGCGGCGAGAATAGAGCGAGCAGCCATTACAGTTGCGACTGGTGATTGCTGGGAGGAAGGGAGATTTCTTGAATTGATTATTAGAAGAAAAAAAAAAGGAGTGGAGCAAAAATGTTTAAATGTCAGAAGTGGGATTTGAACCCACGCCCTCTTTCGAAGACCAGAACTTGAGTCTGGCGCCTTAGACCACTCGGCCATCCTGACTTGTTCTGCCTCTAATAAACTTAGTGTTATATACCTCACTAAATGATGACATTTAATCTTTAATTTTGACTTAATACGCTTTTATTCTCCATATGTGATTGCAATTGCTGCATGACTCTTTTCAAAGAATGTTGATTTGCGATTGCATATTAAGTTGTATTTTTGTGAAAGATGAACAAGAGTGGGTTGTTCCGAGTAAAACAATTCATTTGAATCATAAATGGATGTGATGATTCTCATGACTCTGGAGAAAGTACATGTATTATAATTCTTGTTTTATATTAATTTAATTTATTCCGTATATTATATCTTTCTTCGCATACAAAATCTCTACATCATTCTTGGCAAGGAAATAGCAAAACTTTTACTACGTAATAATTTTGTGTACTAAGATACGTGCTAAGATTGTTCATTAAGATCCTCTATTCTTGATATATCTCCTATGAAACCTTAGTTATTAATACTATGATAATTAACTTTGGTTATAAATGTTGTGATGTAAAAACAATTGTTACAATTGTCTATAATCTTGTGTAATGTAATCTATGTCCCTAATAGCGAGTTCTTCATATCCAATACCATCAACAAAGAAATGACTAAACTATTTGTATTTGATTTTTTAAGCTTTACTATTCTTCTAACGTCTTAACTACCCATTTTAAGCTTTACTATTCTTGTACCTTTTATGAATATAAATATGGAGTATGAATTAAAAGTGAAATTTACATACCTTTAAAATTGAAATATAAACCCTAATATCTCTATTCCAAAATGAAAGTTAAACGCTTTAGTATTCATTGATCAATTCAATTTTTTTTATCAAAATCTTATTTGATTTAATTTGAAGTTAAACAATATTATAGACCCATTACGTAGGTTATTATGATTATATAAATTATAAATTTAAATTCTGATTAGAAATTGTCAAAGAGAAATTTATTTTACCATTGAACAAATCTCAAAATCCGCGAAGTAATTGTTATTTTGAACTGTGGGAGTACTAAACATATTGCGGAGTATTATTTTTGTTTTGAATAAAGAAGGCTTAAATTATATGATCATAAACTCGCAGAGAACCAATAGAGCAAACACTCTCATTTCGATCACCTGCCTTAGAATTAGACGTGAAATTATGTGTTATATGCACAATAATTCGCTAACCACTCAACGAGCACCATAAAGTCTACTGTAATCAAATGAAAGAGATTACCCTGCAAAACACCCACCAGATAGGTGCTCCACACCACAGTCATAACAAAATCATCCTAGTGTACTCTAATGAAACCAAAACTAATCGAAAAGCAACCATAACTCGAAATTTGAAAATAAAAGTGTAAGCAACATAAATAAAGCTTGGAATTTGAGCCGTCCATCTTCAATTTGCAGACTATTGTCCAGGCTCGTCTCAACCTCATTTTTTCCGCCACTGGTTTCAACCTCCATCAATGTGTGAGCTGATGGTGTCTCCACTTCCCCCAGACGGTGCTTTTGGTTAGTAACTTGTACTCCTTCAACCTGGCTTGCTAGTTTCTCAATCTCACCTGTAAAAACAACAGAACTAGAGCCCATATTCACTAATCCATTTGCCGGTGTAGAACTCTCTATTCCATTGTTATTGTCCCTGCTTGGATGTTTTCCAACCACAAGCCATTTATTACCTCTTCTTCCACTAGTGCTCCCACTACTTGCTCTCATCCATGGCCCAAATTCTTTTGCGTGTTCAAAATTTGATTGTGCTAGAATTTCAGGACAGAACTTGTCTCCGTGACTAGTGATATCATAAGCATAACAGGAATTAGGGAGATTTTCATATGTCAGATCAACCCATAGACAATCCTCATTCGTTTTTTGAACCTTTAGATTTTTCCTAAGTGGTTTCCTGGTATCAAGGCAAACTCGGATCCTCAAGTAGGCCCTCCAATGCCCCTCAAATTGATTTTCATCAAGTTTAATAAAACATCCAAGATTATTACCAATAATTTTAGCAATCCTTAGAGTCAAGTGACCCACAGACAAGTTATGTGCTTGGACCCGAAAATCCGAGAAATATAGAGGGACTCTCAGAGGCAGATCAATTGACCTTAGTTCATGCAACGCCACAAGATTCTGATCATACAACCACGGGCCACAGTGCCACACTCTATAACACGTGTCATATCAACTTGATGGTAAAAGGAGAAGAGATACCTCTTATTTGTCCCTAAACGCCAAAAATTTCACCGACTTCTTTGTTAAAACAATGCCCACTATAGACCACTCGGATAGTCCCCCTTCCTGCTCTTCCCTCATTCTCATCTGGTAGATCCACCTCGTCGTCATCCTCCTCCTTCAATAGTAGCCGACCATACCGATCAGCTAGCACCTCCTGTGTGTCCATCCGGCCTGCTGCTGAAGCCACTAGCATTTACCACAAAAACAAAAAACACAAGAAAAGAAAACCAAGCGACTCAAGCAAAAGAATTTGCGATGAACGGGTAGGAAAAGCAAAAGACCGACTGATAGCCCCTGTCATTGGAACATCATGCGACGAAAACAAACTCAACCACTACCTTGCACCAACCAACCGAAAAACAAACCCCAACCGACCAGCGGCTCCTATTGATGGAGACGTAAAGGTAACAACCAACCAATCAGGACAAAGAAACCATTGCACAGATCGAAAAAACAAACGCAATTGTGCTACAAGTGGATCCGCACAAATGACTGCGCTCAAAACCCTACATTATGAGGGGCAGACTGCAATTGCTAACATATTACAAAGTATTTGATTGTACAAAAGTATTTAAATTTGGAAACAAATAAAACTAGAAAATGATAATAGTGATGAAACAAGTAATTAGGCAACGTATCTACATAGTAAGTACACTAATTTTTGCACTATTAGACATTTAGACACTACAATTCCCATTCCCATTTAAACTTGGAACAGAGGTGAATAATGACAATGCAAATTACACCGTATCGAGTCGCTATCGAGACGGATAGACACAACTCAGAAACTTTTTGAAATCATGTGTGTGCGACCTTATCTAGTCGGTCACTAGTTCACCTTACAAACGGCTAGTTTGATCCACCTTGATCCATGGCATGCATCAGGTTGCTATCTAGCTAAGCCTACGCCTACGATTTGTTGTACCTTGACGACATTATCTTTCCACTGCACGAAAGTGATCTCTTCCCTACCTCACCCATTAATGAAGATGAAGATGACGATGAAGAGCTCTTCCCTGTTACAGGCCTCATTTCCCCATTCTGTGGAACCAAGTCCATAGAAACTGATCTTCTAATTCCAGCAGTTTCAGCTCCATTATTCATTGATGATAATAACGACCCCCCCTTCAATTCATCAATCCTACTCTCTCCCACACCCGATCTGCTCTCTCCTTCCAAGCCTTCTTCAATCATCCCTCCCCTGCCCCTGCTTCCCGGAGCCGCCGCAGCGGCGGAGATGGTAGCTTCCGGAACTAAAATCGGGGCGCGGCAGATGGGGCAATTGGTGTGGGAGGCAAGCCAAGTATCAATACAATGGATGTGGAAGGCGTGATTACACTTCGGCAAAACCCTAACCCTCTCCCCTTCTTCAAATTCGCTCAAGCAAACACAACAATTGCTGCAATCACCGTCTTCACCTCTCTGGTTGTACCTGGAAACGGTGATCCGGTTTATCATCGACTGCCCTAGGCCGACGGTTCTGATGTGCCATATCGGATTGTCCGCCGCATCCTCCGCCAAATTACTCATCCTCTCATCAACCGCGCCGTCTTCTTCTGACGAATCGCCGCCGCCACTCCCCCTCCTCCTCCAATTTCTGACGACTACGTAGCCGGTCATGAAGAGGAAGAAGAGAGCTGCGCCGGCGGCGAGCATGGGGAGGAAAATAGGCACCTGGAACTGGAAGTGCTTTACTGGACTGGAGGAGTCCCGGGAAATGAAGTCCGGCGGCGGCGGAAGGGGAGGAGGATGAAGAGGCGGCAAAGGCGGCAGGGGAGGGGGGTGTAGAGGCGGCAACGGCGGTAAGGTTCGTCTGCAAGTGGAGAAACAGAGAGGGAGGCAGAGTAGTGGGCAAGGGAGGCCGTGCTCTGAGTTCTTATTTGGATTGCAGAACTGGTCGCAGGGCGGGTCGGATATAATAATCTGGAGGGAACCGGTTAGCAGCTTCCTTCTTCGCCGCCGGCGGGAAGCCATCGTCGATCTCCACTCTGCCGTTTCTTATGGATGCGGTTATAATTGACGGTTTTATTAATGGCATGCGACTGGGGGGTTGACTTTAACGTAAGAAACGAGAGCGTGTGGGTTGCAAGGCGGGAGTAAATGACTAAAATCACTAAATGCAATACATATTCGAGAAGTCCGAACTAACGGCCATCCATCCAATTTATGACCCCCTCCCTCCCTTTATTGTTTGTCGTTTTATGTCAAAATCAAATCTATCAATTAAACAATAAAATTACTCCCTCCATTTCTAAAAGAACCTCACACTTTCCTTTTTTGGATGTGCCAAAATAAAAGTCACACTTCCCTTATTTCTTTATTTGGCAAAGAAATCTATATCCAAACAGTGTCAAACAGTGCCAAACAGTGTCCAAACAGTGTCAAACAGTGTCAAACAGTGTCTAAACAGTGTTTTCTACAGTAAAGTCAATTTATTTCCTTAATAATCGTGAAGTCAAACCGTGACTTTCTTTTAGAAACAGAGGGAGTATTATGTACCACGTATATACTCCCTCCGTCCCAATTTGTTTTGCAAAGTCAACATTTTTTGGTCAACCAATAATAAAAGTCAACTCTTCTTATGGATAATTAATTCAATTTTTAATAATTAAAATTTACATATTTAAAAACTACATTAAAATCTTTTCAAAGTTGTAAACTTCAAATTAGAAAATTATTAAAAATTGACATCCTAATTAAGTGAACAAAATGAGACTGTTTGACTAAGAAAAGTCAAATTTGCAACTCTTTTTGGGACGGAGGTAGTATATACGATTGTATATAATAGAAGCAAACCGAGTGTTGAGTTAGTAAAGTGTGTTTGGTTCGATTTCGCAAGTATAGAACAATTTCAATAAGTTCTTATAGAGCACGAGCCTCTAATTTACGGAGTATGATCTAAGTTAAGGCTAAGTTATTGAATGCAAGTTTGTCAATCATTTATACGAAAAAGCGGCATGCGGTGAAGGCGATGTGATGTGCTCTCATTAGCTAATCCTGAATCATAATATCATTCATATTTGATGCATTAAATGTGATATCCCGCCAATTAATGACTTCCCGGCGTTCCCATTATTCTCCTGGTATAGGAGACTTTGTTGCTAGAAAGTTTGAAGGTGTTTTATCCTATTTGGGATATTGCGCCCCGAGCGAGGTATAGATTCTGGGTGGGAGGGATCTCCCGGTCGGAACGGTCTGCATCCCGAGCATTGTTGTTCGTGTCCTTGTGCCAGTTAGGCTTGCGGTGGTTTTGGGCCGGACTCCTAATAAGCCTAATGCCCCAACACCGAGGTCAATGATTTTTTTTTCAAAATAGAACTAAAAAATAATGTATAACCAAACTACAAATATTATGTTTTTTTGGCAAGAGTTAATTACTTAAATCACATTTATTCATTATTTGGCGTTAATGTGGTCGTATAAACGTCATTATCAATAGAATTTTCAAATAAGAACGTAAATATTCTTATTTTTAGGAAGAAGAATACCCTTTTGTCCTTTAAAAACACCCTCCTTTTCTTTTATGGATGTCCTGAATAAAATCTCATTTACTTATTTGGTATTCCCTCGAACTAGTTAAAATGGTTTCACTTTTTCTTTTTCACCCGTCCCACGAAAATTGTCTCATAATAAATTTGATAATGTTTGTACAAATTTCTAGATCATTTTAATTTTATAATAACTTATCTATTTAATATCAACCAATAAATTCACTTTTTCTATAATAGCTAAAATTCCTCTCGTACCAATCTTGGGGAGACACGGGTAGTATATACTTATCGTATATTTTTTCAATCTATTCTACTACATTTAAGTAATAATGACAACACAATGCCAAACAATGTTAAAAATGTCAAGCAGTGTCAAAATAGTGTAATGTAGAATAAAATATAGGCTTAAATACGTTTTAGTCCCTGCAAATATGGCACAATTTGTTTTAAGTCCCTGCAAAATACTATCTATTTTTCTTGTTTTTCATCCCTGCAATATGCAACATTTTGTTTTTAGTCCATCTCTGATTCTGAAACTACTCTACTTACAAAAAAAGTTATTGTCAGTGTCATAAATCTACTAGAAATAATTAAATTCTTCCTTTTATAACTTTTTAAGGCTAATATGAGAGTTAAAACAATGTAAAACTAGGTATTCACATTTTAAAAATATATATTAAAAACCTTCTAAAAATAAAAATTAAATATTTTTTTAATAACATGATAGAGAACTAGAAGAGATCTATTAATCGGGGTTATTTTGAGGTCAAACGGAGATTGTTATCATTAGTGATGGACTAAAACCATCCTAAATTGCAGGGACCAAAAACAAAAAAATAATTTTGCAGGGATGCAAAACAAAATGTGCTATATTTGCAGGGACTAAAAACATATTTAAACCTAAAATATATTTTCACTACTGGAGGACAAAAGTCAAAAGAAAAAACATTTCCTTGAAGTGCATACTATCTCAACTGGGAAGCTTAAATAGAGATTAAGGTGATAGTATTGTTTGAATTTCATACGGAGTATTATTTTTACTTCTATTAATTAAGGGAAATTTCTATCTTTATACTACTTTATCATTTTGACAAGTGATTAGCTTCCAAAATTTGAACGCATTGGGCAAACACCGTAACACTTTACTGATTTTCCTAGCTTATTGAGTTGTATCAATGAATGTTGTCACTTTCAATTGAAGACAAGTATGAGGTCAAACTCTCCTTTTTCTCCTATTTAAAGATATCAATTGCGAAAATTCAATTTAATTACTGCATGTATAAATTAACCTTGGGTCAAGTTTTATGTAGATGAGGGCGTGTAAGAAGTGCTACTGCACAAGGCCTTTCGATTTAGAAGACCCAAAATTTTAAATATAGTCTACATATATAATATACAAAATCTTTTTTTATTTGATTAAAGATTCCTATTTTAATTTCCATCATTTGCAATGGAGCCAAAGATTCATTATTTTTTGGCTTGAGAATATGATGCAATAAAGCAAAATGGCTCACTAAACTGTCTGCACTTCTTTGTTATGAAGTAGCAGTCAGTCCATGCAATTTGGACGTGATTTTCACTATGGGTCATCTGGAAACAGTCTCTCTGTGCTTTAGTACATGGGTAAGACTGTGTACATCCGACCCCCACTACCCCACTGTAGGTGAATGAAAATGATGAAAGATTCTTATTTTAGTATTTTGTTTTTAAATACAAACATTAAATACTACTCGTACTCCGTAATATCTATATATAATGAAAATGCAATAGTTAATTATAAATGTGCAACTTCTTTATTACATAAGGTCTGGATAAGGCCTTGTTATAGTAATTAGCACAAATTACTCGTACAGTTTGGACGAGCTTCGTTTTAAGAGACGGAGGAAGTAGTTTTTTCAGTAATATCGTACTCTATATTTTTTAGTTCATGATTTTAATTCATTTCTTTTCGGTTTTAGTTTTTTTTACCGATTTTGGTTGTTCAGGTTTGAAATATGATATTATATCTCAATGTCACATTTGATTGTAATTTTTCTGGGGTTATTTTTTAAAGGCTGCTTTTATATTATATTTATTTAATATAGGGTCTATTTTACGTGATTTGCACTGATTCTCCTAATTTATTGAGCGGACGTGGCGATAATACATGAGTATCAAAATGCTGTGAGGAATTGAATAGATATTTCGGGCAAGTCTATATGCCAGATGAATAAGGTTGTGGGCTTGTGGCTAGATGGGATAATCTTCTTCTAGTAGAGTATAGCTACTTGTTGCCATACCGGATACTGACAGGTTTCTTTAACTCAAACCATTCGGGTGGGCGTTAGCAGATATGGAACCATTTATTTATTGCTCTACTAGATCCTCCACAAACACTTCTGGAGTTCGCGTAGAAAAGAGTATTATGGTTTCAGATAATATAGTCAAATTTTGACTATTTTAGAAATAATAAAAATTGAGCTACTTTAGTCCAAGCAATGATTTACTCCTGTATAAAAGTGGTTTGCAAAAATTGTTTTTACGTAATATCAATTAAAACAAAGTATGATATATTTGCAGAGACTAAAATGATATTCAAACCTATTCTAAATTAGATTTTACGATAGTAAAGACATTTCGATATAGTTTCTGAATAGATAATTTTAATTAATCGAACTGATTTAGGTATCCATAAAGTAGGCGTGGACCCGGTTCGGGCCGCCCGGCCCGGGACCGGCCCGGCCCGTCACTGTGCGGGCCCGGAACCGGCCCGGTTCTCGGGTCCGGGTCCGGTTCGGGCAGAGACCCGGTCGGGTTAGCGGGACCGGGCTCGGGTCCTGGTTTTGGAGGCCCGGCCCGGCCGGGTCGGGCCCGGGCCTAACGGTCCACTATTTAAAAAAAAAAAAAAAATTTTTTGGATTCTTTTGGCTCAAACGGCTATATAGCCGTTGGGTGTACCAGGGGGGGTCAGGGGGGTTTGGGTGGGGGGTGGGGTGGGGGGTTGGGGTGGGGGGTGGGGGTTAAAAAAAAAACCTATAAATACTCCTAATTTTAAACATTTTTTCACACCTCTTCTCCAACTCTTCTAAATCCTACTCTCTACTCATCTCCATTCTCCAATTCTCCATATTCATCTTCTCTAATTCTCTTATTCTCCTTTATATTTTATTTTACTATTTAATACTTATACAATTATTATATCTACTTATATATTAATTATCTACTTATATATATTATTATCTACATATACTATATTGCTTATATTTCTTATCTACTTAATTTCTACTTATATCTCTTAATACATACATACATACTATATCTACTTAATATATACTTTATATAATAAAGTATTAAATATACTTTATAAACTATTATTATATACTTAATACATAATAATATCTACTTCTCTACTTATATTTTATATATACTTATTTTCCAATCTCCAATTCTCCATTATACTCTAATATTTAATTCTTATACAATTATTATATCCACTTAATACATACATTCTACATCTACTTAATATATATTTATATATTAAAGTATAAAATATAAGTGTATTACTCATCGTATAGTATAGTATACTTATATATTATATAATATAAACATTATATTATATATTACTTACTATAACTAGTATTATACTAGTTAATTAGTTAATTAGCATTCTTGTTACATTTTTCATTATACTAGTTAATTAGTTCATTACCATTATTGTAACATTTTTCATTATACTAGTTAATTACTTAATTAGCATTCTTGTTACATTTTTCATTATACTAGTTAATTAGTTCAATACCATTCTTGTTACATTTTTCATTATACTAGTTAATTAGTTCAATACTTCAATACCATTCTTGTTACATTTTTCATTATACTAATTAAAATACTTCACATTTTATTTAACTAGTTGTTAGTTTGTTACATTTGTCACTATACTAGTTAACTACTTAATTAGCATTGTTGTTACATTTTTACTTGTACTAGTTATTTACTTCAAAAGTTGCTATAATTTTAATTGTAGAGACACACATTAATTCTACTTTGCAAAAAATTAGTTTGAAGTATTAATTAAAATAGTTTTAATTAGTTGCATTAGTTTTGTATCCATTATTATATTTGTTGTGAATTAATATTTGTTACATTTTTAGATGGAAGGTGGTAGATATTCGGTTGATTTGGGTAACCTCCAACGCAATCGAAGAAACGAGATTGGGAGGAAGAAATCCCGCAAAGGTAAAGAACTTGCCGGGTCTTCATCTCAAAGCCGAGATGATTTTGAAACGGGTTACCAAAGGCGAGATGGAGATGCGATGTCCGAAGAACAACTCCAACAAGAATTGGCCCGACATAATAACCGCTTTCTACAACAACAACAAATGCCGACGACCATTGACGAAGAGGAGCTTGAGGATGAAGATGCGGAGGAATTGGAACCGGAGACGGCCGAGGAGGAGGGTGCCGGCAGCCACGACGCCGACGCGCCTGCCTCATCCCAAACCGCCACCGGTAATAAAAAAAGTAAGTCTGAATTAATGCAAAATAATTTTGATAAATGGAAGGACCCACAAACTGGCTATTGGCACGCAACTTGCAAGTGGTGCAACAACAATTATAGTTTGGGAACCTCCGGCGGATACGGATCCGCCGCAAGGCATCTTAAGTCAAAGCACCCCGTGGAGTACGCAAAATTAGGCGGCGGAACGGGGAAGCAAACTCAAATATCGAGGTTTGCGAATTCTCAACCTTTTGGTAATTTCGCCTACAATGATGCACAAAATTTGACTGGTATGGCTAACTTAATTTGTGAAGAAAATTTGCCTTATTTGTTTTCTGAAAGTCTTGCTTTAAGAGATTATGCACAAGGTAGTTTAAATCCTCAATTTAGAAATTATAGTCGCAAAACTGTTAAGAAAGAAATAATAAGGCTTTATAATGCGGAAAAGGAAAGGTTACAAAATTTTTTTGCAAACTTTGATGGGCGTGTTACTATTTGTTCTGACATATGGGAGGATGATTTTCATCATTTATATTATTTGGGTCTGACTGCACATTATATTGATGAGGATTGGAATATGCATAAACGTGTTCTTGCTTTTCGTGAATTTAATGATCGTCACACCGCTGAACATATTTATATTTTGATTGAGCGTATTTTAATTGAGTATAATTTGATTGATAAGGTGTTTGCTATTGGTTTCGATAATGCTACTAATAATACTGCTGCTATACCTAGATTGCGTGAGTTGTGTGGTGCCAATTCTTTGATGGGTAGATTTTTTCATCAACGGTGTGCATGTCATGTTATAAATTTATGTGTGCAAGACGGTTTAAAAGCGTTAGGAGATTCCATGGAGGTAATAAAGGGGGGGGGGGGGGGGGGGGGGTTAGACGTATTTGGGGTAATGGTCAACTTAGATTAAAATGGCAAAGTTATTTGACTGAAAGAGGTGTGAGATATGTTGCTTTTCCTAAAGATTTGAGTATTCGTTGGAATGGTACTTATAAATTACTTAAAGTTGTTCTTAGATATAAAGAACATTTTCCTGCTTTTTTAAAAGAACATGATAACTATATTATAAACGCGGCTGAGATCGACACTTGCGAAAAAATTTGTAATGTTTTGATATATTTTTTTAATGCTACTGAAACTTTTAGTCATGTTTATAAACCTACCGCAAACCAATTTATTCCACAAGCTGTTAATCTCGCCGATGCTTTTAAAGAATTTCAAAATGCCGTTTTCGTTCATTATTTTTGTGATTATATGAAGGAAAAGTTTTTAAAATATTATGCGCATATTCCCCATATTTATGGTATTGCATTTATTCTCGATCCTCGTTATAGACTTGCTAATTTGGAAAGTTGTTTCAACTTCTATTATCTTGCGTTTTTCGGTGAATTTCCAATGTATGAGGATAACCCCATAGATCCGAAAACGGAATACAACGAGGTTAGTACTTTATTTTATGCCTTATTTAATGAGTTTCGTTCACAATATGGCAACGCTCCCCCTCCCCCGCCACGAACATCTTCATCTAAAGGAAAATCGATTTTTAAATCTGCATTTGGCAATCTTATGAAAAAAACTAAAACAACTCACGTCACTGAACAAAGCGCATTGAATGAGATTACTTTGTATTTAACATATGAAGTTGATTTTGAAGAAAATGATGACTTCGACGTTCTAGACTGGTGGAAGTCAAAAGAAAGAACGTTCCCGATTTTAGCACGGATGGCTAAGCAAGTACTATCAATGCCGGTTTCAACAGTTGCTGTGGAACAAGAATTTAGTTCGGCCGGCAACGTCCTAACGGCATCTAGATCGAGATTGAGCGCGGAGTCTCTTGAGACGCTTATATGCTACCACGATTGGTTGAAGGCCGCACGTAGAACTCAAGAATTGAGCATCACCCCCTCCCAAGATTTTATGGATGACTCAACAACCGATGGTGGCTCTACCTATGCCGGAGATTCCGATTGATTAGTATTTTAGAATTTAGTACAAAATGTATTTTATAGCACTTGTCAAATTTATTTATACTTGTACTTCATATTTCAAAATTGTAAACTTGTACTTCATATTTCAAAATTGTAAATTTGTAGTTGTAGTTCAAATTAATTTGTAAACTTGTACTTCATATTTCAAATAAATATGTGTTCACTTTTTCATATGTAGCACTTCTCAAATTAATTAATTGGTTACAATCTAACGACTTAAAATTATTTTTCTAAAATATAAAGCCGGTTTTTAAATTAAAAATACATTTAGAATATGTAATTTGTTTAAATACTTATACACCTATTTTGTAACATTTGTTTTAGTTTTACTTAATTCATTAAATTAATTAATTTATTTTACAATATGTGTATAACTTAAAAAAAAAAAAAAAAAAAATTCAAAGCTCCCAAACGGCTATATAGCCGTTGGGGCTATGGGTGGGGGGCAGGGGGGTCCCGGGGGTGGTGGTGTGGGGAGTGGGGTTCAAAAACACATATAAATACATCTATTTTCTAACATTTTTCTACACCTTTTCTCCAATTCTTCTCAAACTCTTCTCCATCTTTATCTTCTCTTATTATCCTACATTCCTACTTAATTACTTATAGTGTTATACATATACCATTTTAAATATGGAAAGTACATCTTCTCTTATGCAAAACAATTTTGACAAGTGGAAGGACCCGAAGACCGGACTGTGGTGGGCAACTTGCAGGTGGTGCAAGAAAGACTGTTGCTTGGGGCGTTCATACGGATACGGGATGCCAATAAAACATATGAAGTTCTGTGACAAAGGGAAAACAACAACCAACGGTGGCAGAAATCCCAATTGATATTCATTACAATTTACAAAATGTATTTCGTATTGTTATTTTTTTCTCAATTCTCAAATGTAGTTCTTATTTCAAATAAATGCACTTGAACTTTGTTTTTAATAGCAATTTGTATAATATATAATTAATATAAAAAAAAAATTTATTGACCCGGCCCGGCCCGGCCCGGCGGGTGGCCCGACCCGTGACCCGGGCGGGTGACCCGGCCCGAACCGGAACCGGTCATTGACCGGGCCGGTCCCGGGCCTACCCTTATAGGACCCGAGGCCCGACCGGGCCTTGACCCGGCCCGGGCCCGACCCGGCCCGGGTCCATGCCTACCATAAAGGATGTAACTTTATCTTTAGTCCATTTTAAGAACTGCAAATTGCAAACCGGTCCTTGTGAGGGGAATATTTACTCGGTCACCCTTGATCTCTTTCATTTAAAGTGGCAACGCCATCCAAAAGAAAAAAGTGAAGAGGGTTTGGAAAGGAAAATTCTTAGGCAATGTTTTCAATGACCTAATGCAATGAAACGGAACGAAATGTGTAATGCAATATAAAATGGAACGAAATGTGTAATGCAATATAAAATGTAATGTAGTGGAATGAAATCTCTATTTCATTAATATGTTTGGTTAATCCTTGAAATGTAATGGTGGTAGAAGAACAAGGCATATATAGAAGTCGTTGGGTGATGTGGGCACTGCCATTGGTGGTGTTGTCTCTTTTCACAGCGAAGGTGAGCCATATGGTTGAATCCTCCGTCAAGGCCGGTTAGTTCATTTTCACGACATGCAATAAGGTGTAATCTCAAATACGCACCTTTTTTAATGTAAATCTTACTACACATGTAAAAGTAATGAATTTAATGTATGCAATGCAAATGGACGATTTGAAATAAAATGACACACCAAACATCGTATTCGGATCAATATGTAATATTCATTACATTACATGATTGATTACGTCATACCAAACATAATTTTTGGTATATATGACTTATGTATTCGCCCATTTTGTATGTGTGAATACAATTTATATCGATAACATTTAGAAAAATTGTTTGACACAAACAATTCTTTGTCCATACCCCAACAATCTATCTTAGAAAATGAAAAAAGTTGTATGTTTGAATAAAAAAGTGATTTGATAATATTTTCCAAACATTATTACAAATTACAATTGCTTCTATTTTGGATGAGAAAATATAGTATACTATTTTGAAATTTCTACAATGTCCTATTATACAAGTAAAAACAATGTTAAACTTCAATATAAAAGTTTTGTGTTTTTAATACTTAAAAATACCGTCAGTTAACTCATACTTTAGAAAATACTGAGACTTATGAAATTAATAATCCATTTGAATACTTTATAATGTCAAATATGACAGTGAATCCATAATAACATTAATTTAATCTCTACGTATTGGTATAAATTTATGAACTTAAGTAAATATTGTTATCTTTTTCCAATATACTACGTATATGATCAAGTATCTTATCAACAAATTTCATAAAACAGTTAACTTATTAATTTATACTTAACGAACTTGTTGATTAGGTTGGAAAAAGTTCTGAGTCCTATCTTTAGGTTCAAGACAAAACATTCAAGCTCAACGTTGATAAAGTGATAAACTCGCCGAAGAAAAAAAATAATGTTCCGAGACAACCCACCGCTAAACTTACATAGTACAGAGCAGCTACGTAACTCAAGCATACCAAACGAGAACAAAGTTAATGTTAATCTTAATCTTAACCGTTCATTGACATTGAAAGATTGCAAAACCAGAAGTAACGATTAACAACGTTAGATGATTTCAGTCTTCGACTATAAAACCAAAGAAAACTATCATTCAGCTTCAAAGAAGTTAAACTTGAAATCAAATACTCAACATGTACAATAACCATTTGGGTTACCGGCTTAGCGTTGCTAACGAACATTACAAAGATATTAGGACATGCACGAGTGGCTTCTTTTGACATATATACTCATTTTTTGTGAGATTTCATGACGGGTTTTACACGAAATGATTATATTATTGTTGCAAAAAATCAATAGTGTAAAGACTACATTTTGAGATTCAATAGTGGAAGAGGAAACAATGAACTCTGTCAATGGTTTCTCAGCTTGCTTACTGGAAACTTGAGTCATCTGATACAACTGATGTTTTCTCAGGGTTTGTTTTACTTACCAGATTGTTTATGTTCATGCCATAAATATGTCCCATTTTGGCACGCTTTGTTTCCAAGTATCTCTTGTTGTCTTTTGTTATCGGGGTCACAAGAGGTACCCTTCCAGCAACTGCCAGACCATAGCCTTTCAATCCACTGTATTTAGCCGGGTTGTTTGTCATCAACTTCATAGTTTTGACGCCAAGATCTCTTAGTATCTACCCAAAAGATAAATCTCATGTTACATCATATAAATATAAAGATACAAACTAACTCATGACATGTTGGTTTGATGATTTCTGAGGAGTGGTAGGATGATATTAATTTTTTCAAATCATGTCCATATTAAATGATTTTACATAAATTAGATAAATTACTCCCTCCTTAATAGAGGTAGTACATACTTACAATATCTCTTACGAAGTAATAGTTATTTCTAGGTTAGAACTGACTAATAGAGATACATTAGTAAAATAAAAATCAACCCTTCCCTCCAATCCCCTCTGAAATAGCCAATGAGCCTTTACAGGAAGTGTGAACTGTGAAGGGAAAATACCTGTGCACCTATTCCATACTCTCGTGAATCAACTGGTAAGCCAAGTTCCTCATTGGCTTCAACGGTGTCCCGCCCATCATCTTGAAGATTGTAAGCACGAAGTTTATGTCCCAACCCGATCCCTCTTCCTTCATGACCTCGAAGGTAAACTAACACACCCCTGCCGGCAGCCTCAATTTGTTGCATAGCAAGTGCCAATTGATTCCCACAATCACATCTGGCTGAACCAAATATGTCTCCCGTCAGGCATTCAGAATGCACCCGAACAAGAATATCTTTCCCGTCCCCAATCTCACCCTATTATTTATTGTCAACAATGTTCAACGGGATTAGAGTCGATATATATCTGCTCTGATATATTTGATTCAGATTTTAGATGTGTGTGTGTGTGTGTGTGACATATTACCTTCACCATCGCGATATGTTCGATCCCATCTAAGACAGATCTGTAACAATGGGCAATGAAAGGCCCCCAATTGGTAGGTATCTTTGCAGCAGAAGCATGTTCCACCAATTGGTCTCTTTTCCTTCTATATCTGTAAAACAATGTAATTTACCAGTTACACTTGGGAACATTATCAAGCAATATGAGTGTTCATGATAAGTTTATGATCAACTCAAATTCTTAAGAAGTAGTGGTTTTGTATTATTCAGTTCATTCATGTGTAGATAGTCCATAGTTGACACCTGTGTCTAGTTTGGATCAGACTGGATTTCATATATTATTATAGGACAGCAATTAGGCCTGCATTACTGTATGGCGTAGAGTGTTGGGCGGTGAAACAATGTCACATTCAAAAGATGAGTGTGGCGGAGATGTGCATGTTGCGTTGGACGTGTGGGCATACTAGGAAGGACCACGTGAGGAATGAGACAATCAGACACAGGGTGAGAGTAGCACCTATTGAAGACAAGATGTGGGAGTCACGCCTACGGTGGTTTGGTCATGCGCGTAGAAGACCGAGCGATGCACCTGTCAGACGACTTTTCCCATCATCTTTTCTTCTTGTTTTTTTTATCCTTTTATCCTTGTATATATAAACATTATTTTTATCATTTTTATTTTATCATTTTTAGGTATATTAATCTCTTTTTATAATATCTTTTTATATTATCTTTTTTATAATAGCTTATCTTTTTTATCTTTATTTTCTTTCTTTTCCTTTTGGTGGTGATATCATGTATCGATTCATGTTAGCCGACCCCAATATCTTTTGGGACTAAGGCTTGGATGTTGTTGTTGTAATGATCAAACCACCCCATGAGAGTCAGTGCTTAACATGATAACATTATGCTATAAATCTGGAATAAGGTTAGGCCTAACCCCCCAGCTCAATAAAAGCTCTTTGGAGGGGGTATTCAGCTAATCTATGTGCCCAAAAGTTCGGTAACCTTTGTTTGGGACGGAGGGAGTAATTAGCTAATGTATTGAACTTCAAAGAGTTCTCAAGACAGGTGATGATGGTATTAATGAGGGCACTTGAGTGGGGCCAGCCACCTCTTCATGGACCATGCAATTTTTTCTGTAGGTGCTGCCTCACAACTAACTTTGATACAACGTTTTAATTAAGAGTTGAGCCTAATTCAACCTCAAAAAAACTTTCAAGAGGTGCGATGATTGATTATACATTCATATGGGGCTCATTGTTTCATATTTAATCAATGTGAAACAAAGTTGCGGAATACCTGATTAAATCAGCAATTGATATGATCTTTAAGCTATTATCATGAGCGAATTGCATAAGCTTAGGTAATCTAGCCATGGAACCATCATCATCCACAACCTCGCATAAAACTGCAACTGGTTCTAACCCAGCTAGCACAGCAAGATCAACCGATGCTTCAGTATGACCGGCTCGTTTTAGAACCCCTCCTTCCCGATACTTCAAAGGAAATATATGCCCAGGTCGATTAAAATCCTGCGGTTTAGAACCTTTGGATGCAAGAGCCAATATAGTCTTTGCCCTATCACTAGCTGATACACCAGTTGTAGTTCCAAATTTGGCATCCTGCATATATAAAGATGGATCATTACTTTTAGGGAAACCCCATCCTAATATAATAGTAGCAACTCAACATCATCATTTAAGACTTTTGAGGGAAGGGATGACATTTAGTTTTTAGACAATTTCTGCATCCATAATTCCATATGGTTATAAATGAAATGAAGATTAAAAAAAATACACAAGGAATACATTACCTAACTAGATCTTAAGTTAAGACTAACAAATATAGATAGATTAGTGAAATAAAAATCAATCCCCACCGCTCCTGACTCCTTCGGAAACTCCTGAACCAAACAAGCTTTTAGGCTCTAGGGTGAGAGACCGCTAACATAAATATGAGAAGCATAATACAACAACAACATCCAAGCCTTAGTCCCAAAATATTGTGGTCGGCTAACATGAATTGATACATGATATTGGAGGCAAAATGAAAAGAAAGATAAGAAAGATAAAAAGATAGGTATGATAAATCAATCAATAAATAAAAAGATAACGATAAAGATAAATATAAGACTTGAAGTTCCATCTACCTAAACAGTGGGTGAAAAAAGAAACAGGCACAACATTCAAACATTCTAATTCCAAATTAAGACTCTGAGTTTGATCCTAAATGTCATATGTTATTTTTTTTCACCTAAAAGCTCAATTTCACATGAGAAATAGTCCAAAATGTCATTACAATATTTTTTATCTTATATTTAGCAAACGTAGGACCCGTAATTATATAACAAAGAAGGTCAAATATTGGTTATAATGCTTACCACTGAAACAGTGAATGCTGTAGAAAGTTTCTCCTCGTTATCCTTGTGATTTACCATCAAAGGAATCTCCAACCGCTCCAAGTCTTTTTCCATCATACTCACACAAACAATTCCGGTTCCATGTTTCACAATGAAAGCCATAGCTTCTGGTGTCACTTTTTCTGCAGATATTATCAGGTCTCCTTCGTTTTCTCTGTTTTCATCATCTACAACCAATACCATCTGCATGATTGGATCCATTATGACAAAGAGTGTTAGCCATTAAAACTTAAGGTTCTATAAAAAAAAAGGTTAACATATTAGAAGAAAAGTGCCTAACAGTCCAAGTCTTCATATGTGAACTTATATATTCAAAAAGTCACCTTAACTCCACAAGCATTAGTATGCTATTATCCGTTTTAGATCAAGCCTCCGCATATTCATTTTTTATACTTTTCAAAAGGTCACATACTAATGGAGTTAGATGGAAATTTACATTCAAGGCAATTCTCCCTTATGATTCCAATATGAGACTGCGGTTACACCCAGTATGTTATTATTGGATCCATTATGATTCCAAAATGAGACTGGGGTTACATCCCAGTATGATTGGATCTATTCTGAAAAAGCACAAGTTAGCTATTAAAACTTATGGTTCTATCAAAAAAATTACTCCCTCTGTCCCGCTATGATTGTCCCATTTTACCATTTCGGTCCGTCCCACTAAGATTGTCCCATACCTTATTTGGTAAAGTTTGTGTGGTTCTAAATCATTCCTACTTTATTCTTACTTATCAATTCAATATCAACCACATAAACCCACTTTTATTAATAACCGTGACACCTTCTCTTGTCCCAAACTTAGGGGGACAGAGGTAGTAAAAGGTTAACATATTAGAGAGAAAAAAAGTGTCTAGCAGTCCGATTCTTCATATGTGAATTTATATATTCAAAGCGTCACCTTAACTCCACAAGCATTAGTATGTTATTATCTGTTTCAGGCCAAGCCTCCACATATTTGTTTTTTAAACTTTTTACAAGGTCACACACTAATGTAGTTAGATGGAAATTCACATTCAAGGCAATTATCCCTTATGATTCCAATATGACACTAGGGTTACACCAGTCCAAGGTTCGAAATTGCATATTGCGTGTTTGAGGCGGTTTCTTAGAATTGCCTATTGTGTAAGCCTCATTGCGCAATGAGGTGTAAGCCTCAACTTTTACACAAATTTATACAAAAGAAGTTCAAATAATGTAATGAATACTAAAGTAAAAGAATGATTAAAGGCTTAAAAGTCAACTAATGTCATAATGATATAATATATTATTCATCCACTACGTATTAAGATATCCCTCCTCTATGTATTAAGATATCTTCTATGGAGTACAAGGTGTATAACTAACAAAGAAGCTAATAAAATAATATAATATGCATCCACTAGAAACTAATGAAATAATATAATACTCATGCACTAAATTATCCACTACAGAGTAGTGTAGTACCTATGTTTCTGTCCACTATATCCTGTATCAATAAATAAATAAAATACAAAACCCATACATGTGTTGCCTAAATCCATTTCAGCCTTGTATCCTAAAGTCTCCAAAATTCTTAAGGCACGCCTTATTGCCCAAAGGCGTTGCACAATTTTAAACAATGCCCCAGTCCACAGGACATAAGGATCTATCTTACCAAGAGATCACATCACTTCTATTTTTTAAGGGAAAAAAAATTAAACCTTTCCCTGACGAATGTCTTCAACGGCATCAGGGATGGACGAGAACCCTTCGGATGGCCAGTCCAAATCAAACTCAGCAACATCAGAAGGAAAGCCACTTGGTGTTGGGATAATGTCTGCCACAGGGGTTCCAAAAGAACCTACAACATCTGGTTGTGTTGCGACCCCAACTGATAAGTCACAAAGTCGTGAATGTTTGGTCAAAATGGTCTGGAATATGACACTTGTTGCTTCACGAGATGACAAAGCAGATCTGATTCTGGTTTCCCCCTTGAAGCTCAGTCGTGCCCTATGGTCCAGAGTAACCAGAAATGACTTCCCAGGTGGATGGGACGCATTCAATGATTTGAAAGTGCTGGAAGCTCTATAAAACATGTAAGAAAGTCAGTGGATGGCCATCAAAAGAGAGCAACAGATTATACTATTACTAGATAGCAACACATGCATGAGAATGTCCAGGAGACTGAGATTGATACCATGTTCATAATAGTCCAAGTCCAAACTTAGCATTTCTTACAATGTTCTGTTTTCAAGTATTTAGGCTCATGGATTGAAAATTCTATGTGATCCATTGGGTGTTAGACAAATCAAGTTTGTAAGACTAATGACTATAAAGTCATTGCTTTCCATTCAAACTAAGATAATAAAGTAGTTGAATCTGACTAACAGGCTTAACAGCATCAAGTTCCAAGCTAGAAAATTAACCAAATGCTAAATTCCTAACTTTTAGGATCCGAGTGATTAACATGAATTAAAAAACATAGAGGGTTCTGTAACGAGCAAACCCAGCATTACGGAGGTAATTCCAATGGCCCTAGTTGACCACAATTGGCGTTTTGAGTCCCCCTTAAATGGAGAGATAATAGAAAATTCAAAAACTTTATAGAGAAGGTAGGACTTCCTGGAACTTTATACAAAACTGGAGTCTTTTGCAGCAAGATGAATCGAAATACATTAACATGAGATCAAAGGAAACTTCGACTCAGCAACATTGATTAAAACATGAGTTAAAAGCTTACTGTGGTAGAGAAGGAGCAGTTGAAGCGGAAGAGATGTTAATTATGGAAGCCATGATCGGCCGCACAAAGCTGCGATCAAGAATCCCGAACGAATGTTTCGATCTATTGAGAAAGAAAGCTGCGACTTTTAAAGGAGTGGATGCGGGATGGGACGCTGAATTTAGAATGTTAGAGCCCGTTTGGAGAACTCTGTTTTCGGCTTATCAGGCTTATCAACCAGCTTTTTCACCAAACACGTAACTTTTACTTTCGCGCGCTGAATTGTGTAATAAGCCGAAAAAGTAAGGTTGGAGTTACTTTTCTGGCTGTATTGGCTGAAGTTACTGTAGAGGACCATTTGAGCTATTTTTACATATAATTTTTTCTTTAATTTATTAATAAAATATATTTTTGAAATATTTTTTTCTTAAATCAGCAGAATCAGCCAAAACAGCCACTCCAGCCAGAATATCATAAATTTCAGCAGAATCAGCCAAAACAGCTGATTTTGGTGCTACCAAACGGGCTCTTAGAATAGTGTTGTCTAAACTGGATTCACGTAAGGCTGCCCATATGCGCATCTCTGCCGAGGCATATACGGAGCAAGTGATTTGTGCAATAATTTGCAATTTGTGTTTCAAAAATGATCTTTGGACCCATTCTTATATCACACCTTTGTACTCATCTATGTGAAGCTTTTTTTTATTGTCTGTGAACCTGCCCATCTATGTGAAGCTTTTTTTTATTGTCTATGAACCCAGGTTCACAGACAATATTTTGCACAAACAAAATATTGTCTGTGAACTGTGTTCACAGACAAAAGAAAAACTTCCACAAACATGGTGGGTATAAGGTGGGTATAAGAGTGGGTACATGAAGTATTGTTGTTTCTTTTTTTATCTAACAGGGGCGGCCCTAGGGTTTAACGGGGGCGACCACCCTAGGCCCGAGAAAATAGAGGAAAAAAATAGGCTCAAAAATATTTTTTGTATGTAGCGTGAGTAGGCTTCTTTTTTTAATTTATAAACTCAAATAATTGGCTCAATGTTTAATTTTTAAAATAAATGTAAAGTGGCATGCTTCTCTTAATTCACTTCGGATCTCTATGTTTTATAATCTTTTCAATTACAAAATTACTAAGTTATGTTAAGCCGGCCTCTCAAATCCAAAACTCTCAATTCGTAAAGCTCATCCAAATTGATTTGTTGTTTCCAAATCCTTATATTAACAAGAGTAAAGAACATTGCAAAGCGGTGAGTCTCTCAGCGGTTTGTTAAGAATTGAAGTTAATCAATTGAGGAGTCCAAACGGCGGTCGGTGACCAAAAAACTTATTCTTTCAAGGCTGCAAACAATCCATCCGTGATCAATAAATTATTTTTGATAAAATGGGTGAATCAGGTTGGGATAAAGAGAGAAAGAGAAGAAGATTACAAAAGATGGAGTTAAGTTATAAGGGGTCAATAGAAAATTTTGTTAGCAATTATGAGGTTGTGAGAAATGTTTTTAAGTAATGTTTTTCAGAGTTGAAGGTTCTGATTAATTATCTGCGATCGACTATGTCTCAAGAAAGGCTCAACGAGTTAGCAATTATAAGTATTGAGCATCAGATATTTGAAAAAAGTTGATTATGAAGCAATTATTGATGATTTTGCTTCACAATGTTCTGCGAGAAAGATTTTTAAGTAATGTTTTTCTTTTTATGTGATGCTTGTGTTGTTACTTTTCACCAAATATGTAATTTAAATAATAACAATAGTAAATGAGTTTCGTTTTTATTTGGCCTTTATTATATAATTTTATTATAATTATTATTTTAAATAAATATAGCTTATTATTTTTCTTGAATATAAGCCCAAAATATTATCTCGCCCATAGGCCCGAAAATAGACAGGACCGGCCATGTTATCTAAGTACTCTGTAGTATTTATTTGTTAGCATACTCTATCTTGCACGAATATGGATACGCCGATGCGCGAGTACGGGTACGGCGATACGACAATTTCAAAAATTATAGGATACGGATACAGAGTATATTTATAAATATTAAAAATATAGGGTATAGTTTGCAAATATATATAATTCAGAGGTTCATAAATAAAATAATAATAATAATAATAGTACAAAAAAATAACTATTATAATAAAATTTCAAAGATTAGGCTAAAAAAAACTAGATAATGATATTTCGATTTAAATTCAAATAATATTTTTTGTTATCTATTTGCATTTACATCTAAGTCTTGTTTCAATTAAAGCTCATCAAACGATTAAATGACACATTATAGTATTCCATCATTTTCCATACTCTTGAAATAATCTTTATCAATGTTCTGCATCTTGTGGTCGCTTGGGCAGCTACTAAATTTTCGTCATGTTGTGCATGAAATTAGGGTTATAGGGTCAGATGCGTATCGGTTCACGGATACGGGTATCGGAAGTATCGGTATTTTTAAAAATAAGGCTGATACTTTTGTGAAATTACGGCTACGGACCCAATACGTACAAGATACGTATTGGATACGCGGATACAATATCGGGTGATGTATCGGTTCACAATAGAGCACACCTACTATTTGTGCACTGATACAAGGTCTATCACCATTGAGTCGACTGAGTCACCGTAACTTACAATCACCCAAAAGTCTTATCGGATCGGGACGCGGGGGTTCTTGGGGTTAGAGATTCAACCTTTTGGAAGAATTGTTAGCCTACCACGTTCACCTTTACTTTTTTTCTTTTTTTCTTTAGTTTTGTGGAACACTCAATTATTTGATGGGCCTTTATTGTTTTTTATGTACTCATACATCCATTATATTATTTACTCTTTATTAAATGTCAAAAAAAATTCAAAAATGTCAACATCTCTAATTAGGATGAATTTTGATCTTCTACTTGAGAGTGTTACAGACTTAAAGACATATTATTGAATCACACAGTGCTTGGGTTGAGTCTTTTTTTCTTTTTATGAATATGCCTTTTTCCCGAAAAATGCTTTTTAGTTATATAAAGTAATTTGTTAAGAAGAAATTGGAAAATTCAAAAATACATCTTTATTTGAATGTACCTTTTTATGTAGGGAAAGTTATACTAAAACAGTTTGAAAAATTCTAAAATAGGACTGCCAAGTTTTTTATTCCCAAAATAGGAGTAATTAGTCCTATTTTGGGAATAAAAACATGACAGTCCAATTTTGGAATTTTCAAACCTTTGTAGTCCTATTTCGGGTAATATCTCTTTTATGTAAGCTTACCTAATTTTTCAGAAGATGCTCCCTTTTGTCTCATATTTGTCTCCTAAAGTACAAATGACACGAGGATTAAGATAATGGGTATTATGTGATGGAAAGTTGTGTAGAGTAGAGAAAATGGGTAAGAATGTGTAAGAAATATTGTGAACCACAAATTCTTTGTTAAAAAAGAAAAGAAGAGATAATTTTGAAATGGACGAAAAAGAAAGTTTGAAGATAATTCTGAGAGAGAGTACCTAATATAATTATGAATTATGATAATGCTTTTACGTGTTTTTATAACTAAAATAGTCATACATTTAAGAGCCATTTTGGTAACTTATTTTTTGACTTATCAGTCTTATCAGTGTTTTTTACCGAACACTTCACTTTTAATTTTGTGCGCTGAGTTATGTAAAATAAAAAAAGTATTGATAAGGTTGCTTTTCTAATCGAATTGGTTCAAATGATTGGAAATGAATACTTAAAATATTTTCCCATGTAATTTATTCTTTCCTTTAATCATAAAATATATTTTAAATATGACTTTGGATGTTTTTACTTGGACTGTAATTTGCCCCAGACCAGACCAGACCAGACTTGGATAGTTATAAAAATACAAAAAAACCAGACCTTACCAGACCAGACCAGACCAGACCAGACCAGATCAGACCAGACCAGACCAGCAAATTACAGTCAAAGTAAAAACATCCTTTGTCATAATTCAGCAACTTCAGATAGTTCAGTCACTTCAACTCTGGTTTTCTCAATTTCTGCAAATTCTAATGCTACCAAAAGTCCAAAATAATATGAACAAAAGATCTTTCTACAATACATCAATTTGGCAATCCATATTATCAACCTTATCAACTATCTTTTTATTGAGCACGTAAATAAGGTTGAAGTTATTTATTTGGTTGAAGTCGACATTATTGTTTTAGCTATTTTCAAATATCCATTTATTTATTTTCCTAATAAATTATATTTCAAATGCTACCTATGTTTCTTTTTAATTGAAACATGTTAAAATTTATATTATTCGCATGCTCTACTTTGACTACATTTTATTTTTTAATGTATGAAAATTTATATTTTAACACTAAATTTATGATGCTAAGATAACTTTTTAAATAAAGTTTGGGGTACTTACTAAGGAAAAATTGATAGTAATAATCTCAACTATTGGTGGTCCACTCATAATAATCCCAACTATCGATTATTTCAGAATAATTCCAACTTTAGGAACCTTACGTCAATAATGGTCCCACGTGACCGGCAATAAATAAATTTTTATAGTTTCTAAAGTGGATGAGAAAAGATAATAGCAAGTAATCCCTATAAATAATCCCAATTTTTAATTTTTACGCTTAATTTTTATTTGAAATTCACTTTTTATCTGGTCATGGACCATTATTGGCAGACGGTCCATATAGTTGGGATTATACAAAAATAATCAATAGTTGGGATTATTGTTAGCGGACCGGCAATAGTTGGGATTATTATTTTCAATTTTTCCTACTACTTATAATAGTTATGCAAATTTGTAGTTCTTACTTCACATGCCTCAAAAGTTTGGGACGCTATTGGCATGCCCAACTTTATTGAAAAATGCATAGAATTGTGTATGCGGCTGGTAAAAAAGACGTGTACACGAGGAAGAGCGTCCGGGATTCCGCATTTAACAGAATGGAAACCAAATCTGATAGCCTTTCTTTTATAGCCTTTCCTGAGCTCTCTCATAGATGATAGATGTCCCAAATCCCAATCAACCACTACTTTGCATATATCATTACAATTATAATAAAAAACAACGCAAACATACAAAAACACAAACAATGTTATAGTTCGTTTGTGCCATTTTAGTGCTAATCGAAGGAAGTTTGTTCGATCAAGATTCAACAAGCCTTTCACCAAACTCAAATGTTTTTTAACTATACAAGTCTGGTCTAGGATTAAAAACAATCCAAGTCTGATCTAGTATGATCTGGATCTGAATTGGTTTGATCTGGTAAATGTCCAGGCTCTGTGTATATTATAACTATCCAAGTCCGGTCTAGGATTAAAAACAATCTAGGTAAAAACATTCGTATTCATGTTCTAATAATGAGTAAAGAACGGTTTAGGAGACAATTATGCAAAAGCGGGTGCAGGAAAGAAAGTCAAAAACGTATTATATTTTTGAAAAGACCAAAATATCCCTCATAAAAAACATAGGAGGCAATGTTGCTCACTTTCTTCGCAAGAAAAATTGTAGGAAGTTGGAATAACATGTTTTGATGTATGAGTTATCATGGTGAATCCGGGCAAATTCCGATTCAGGGACTTCTAGGTAAGGGTAAGAAACTAAGAAGTATTTGGAACCCTAGCCGGGTAAATTAAAATGGTCTGACTCTGTTTTGAAGAATTAATAAGTTTTCCTCCCTAGCGTATCTAGGGTTT